GTTTGCAAGTGTTTTGGAGTTTGCAAGTGTTTTGGAGTTTGCAAGTGTTTTGGAGTTTGCAAGTGTTTTGGAGTTTGCAAGTGTTTTGGAGTTTGTACATGCTTTGTCTCTAGGGGCCACCCTACAAAACGAAATAGAAAGCATAAATTAACTACAGGGAAGGACAGATGTGGAAAGAAAGCAGTTTGAATAAAGAGCAGCAAAACGCAGACTGGCTACGTTCAATACTGAATAATAAAGGGCTCACATAAAGTTTAAGTTCGATAACAAAGTCTCAGCCACAGGGGTTTTGTCACTACATTTGTGAGCAGCCACTTTATTAGGTACAGCTGTTCAGTTGTAGATGGTTTAAGGTGCCGTTTGTTACTCTATGACACAGTAACGCTGGCTGTGATGGAGGCTTCTCCAGACACGTGTCACTTGCTGTAATGAGTTTCTGTTTTGCTTATTGCACCCATACACATTTACATGAACTTAAACAGTAACTCTGAAACGCATCGTATTCGTTTTTAATCTGAATTTGATTCATTCATTCCACTTTTTTATCTAATGAAGTCACTTTAAGCTTCTGTGCGTTTAACTGAAGTGTTTTGTCACTTTATTTAAAGCTTGTCTGTCACTTTGTCCTGCTTGTTCAGGAAAAAGAACTGGGTGGGATCTCTCTAACCCAGGTACAAACTTTTAAGGCTTACCAGTGCTTTCCTGGGCTGCAGGGGGCGCTGAAATTCACACAAAATAATAAAATCTGTAACTCATTATATTACGTTTGATATTAATTAGCAACACATGCGTTCTTTTGCTCATAACCATTTTACTTAGCTACCTTCTCATGATTTGGGTTTACCCCACTGCATGAAATAAACACTGCGCCACCACAAAAGCCACTACAAGAGAGAAAAAGTGTCTGTCTGGCCAAAATGAGTAATAATAATAGTTTTTCTGCAGCAACACGTTTGTCTTTAGCTCACTGATGGCAGCAGATGGCAGCGAGCATTAAAAGCATGTACAGAGATTGAAGTTCTTAATCATCTAGTGTAAACAACTTGTAAGATTTTAAATTCAAAGCCTTTTTAAAAATCATTTTTTATCACACGGTGAACAGTTTATTGTAGATTTCATTCTTTATGATTTTAATGAATAGTGACAGAGACAGGAAACAAAAGTAAAATCAAAACCAAATGAATTCAGAGACAAGAAGGTAATAACAGAGACGAGGACAAAGAGATGAACAACAAGGTGAGACGGGAACATCCAGGAAAACATCGACGGGGAAAACAAATCTAATGGTTAAACAAAAAACACTATAAAAAAGTAAATAATAATAAAAAAAAAGGTTTATTCAGAAAACATTTTCAAAGCCATTGTTACCAAGTGCTTTCCAAAAACATGAACATGAACAAACATGGAAGGAAATTATGAATCAGTTAAACTTGGCTGTCAATTTTGAATAACTTATAATTTAATTACAAATAAATCAGTTAAATACAAACGAAAACTCAAACATGGCCCCAAACCCGAGGACCAGGACAAAGACAGACGACATACAGACCACAGGTTCTTAAAGTGATCACAGGCTTTGGTAGAGACCGACCTTCAAACTGGAACATGTCCCGTGATACCATCATGGTGACTTACTGATTATTTACATGCTTGAAATAAAGAAAAACAGAAATAATAATAAGCAACAGAAATGGATGTTTTCAGTCAGTTACTATGGTGACATAACAGGTAAAAGA